CTCCCTCTCTCTCTGCTTCCCTTCCACTCTAAAAATCAATGTAAAAAATATCCTCGGATGAGGATTAACAACAACAAAAATCAAATAGGTATCCAGTGCCTTGCTCTCTCTCTTCTCTTTCTGGCACCCCAATGATGCCAATGTTGCTATGCTTGAGGTTGTCCCAGAGACTCATTTAACTATCCTCATTTTTTTGGATTCTTTTTCTTTTTGCTGTTTGGATTGTGTGTTTTCAGCTGTCTTGTCTTCAAAATCACTGATTTGAGCCTCTGCTTTGTTTATTTTACTATTGATTCCCTGTAATGTATTCTTCATTTCAGTTAGTGTATTCTTTATTCCTGACTGGTTCTTTTTTTTTTAATATATTTTATTGATTTTTTTACAGAGAGGAAGGGAGAGAGATAGAGAGTTAGAAACATCGATGAGAGAGAAACATCAATCAGCTGCCTCCTGCACACCCCCCACTGGGGACGTGCCCGCAACCAAGGTACATGCCCTTGACCGGAATCGAACCTGGGACCTTTCAGTCCGCAGGCTGATGCTCTATACACTGAGCCAAACCGGTTACGGCAACCTGACTGGTTCTTTTTAATGTTTTCTATCTTTGTTTATGTGCTTCCTAGCTCTTTGTTGAAGTCCTCAGGGAGTTCATCTTCTTTTCTCCTATGTTCATGGAGCATCATTATAAGGATTATTTTAAATTCTGCATCTGGTATATTTCTAGACTCCATTCTATTTAGTTATTTTTCTGAAGTTTTGTTCTGTTCTTTCATTTGGGACATGTTTCTTTGTGTCCTTATTTTGGCTGTCTTTCTGTGTGGGGGGGTGGGGTGGTATATGTGTGTGTTTGATATATTAGGTAGAGCTATTACATCTACTGGTTTTGGTAGAGTGGCCTTATGTAGTAGGTGTCCTATAGGGACCAGGTACCAGTTCCCTGGATAACCAAGCTGGCACTCCAGGTGCGCCTTTCGTGTGGGTGCTGTGCACCCTCCTGTTGTAGTTGAGCCTTGATTACTGTTGGACATCAATGGAAGGGATTTGTACCCAGACCGATCAGCCAAGAGCACTGGTCATGACCACAGTGGAAGATCTTCTGTGCAGGGACAACCCCACAGAGCTGCACTTATTTCAGCAGGACTCTGGTGCCCAATGAGTCCACCCCTTGAGTGTGTTGCTCAATGAAGGTGCTTGGTGGTGCTCAGGTGTGGTCTGAAGCTTTCCACTAGGTACACTGGCTCTGGGGGCTCCCGGAAGGTGCAGGCCAAGTCAGCCATGGCGTGTGCCCTGCCTTGGGCTACCTAGCATGAGCTACAGAGTGATCTGAAGATGGCTGCTACTTGTGCTTGGTTTGGAGTTGCCCAAGAGAGGCTAAGCTTCAAACCAAGGACAGCTGGCACTATTGTGAGTACCGGGGACACTTAACAACAGGTACAGGGTATTATGAGGCAAGATGCTGCTTGTTTAGGGTTTGTGAACCTTTGGGAGATTTCAGGAAGGTCCACAGAATGAGCCAAGACCAGCTGTTTATATGGAAAGGGTGCTGGTGGGCTTGCAAGTTAGGTGGTCTCATAGAATCACCAAGGCAGAGTGAACAGTGTTAGCCTAGTTGATGGAGAGTTTTTATATGGCACCTGTCTGCCGACTGTTGGAGAAAGGCGGAGGGAAAAGAACAATGGCCTCCTTGAAGTCAGAGAGTTCAGTTCTTCCCCATGTGTCCCTGGAGGCATTCAAACTGCAGCACCAGCTTGGAGCTCAGAGCGAGTGAGTCCCAGTAAGTAGGTGTGTAGGCCTTTTAAAAGGAATGCCTGGGACTCCAGTGGCCCTCTGGCTCACTCAGTCACAATCCTAACCAGTGTTCATAGTTAAAAGTTATGGAAGCTTCTGGAATCCTGGGCTGGGGCCTGATATGGGGCTGGAACCCCTTGCCCCTGAGTGGGGACCTCTGCAACCGGGATATCCTTCCAATTTTTAGCCATCACAGGTGGGTGTGGAACCTGCCCATTCTGTACCTCTGCCCCTCCTAACAGTCTCAATGTGGCTTCTTCTGTATATGCTTAGTTATAGGACTTCTGTTCAACTAGATGTCAGGTGGTTCTAAATGATAATTGTCAGGTAGTTTAGTGATAATTTTGATGTGGATGTGGGAGGATGTGAGTATCATTTAACTTACTTGCCATCTTTACTGGATCCACCCAGATGTGGATTTTTAAAAAAATGTATATGTTTTTTATTGATTTCAAAGAGGAAGGGAGAGGGAGAAATAGAAACATCAAATGATGGGAGAGAATCATTGATTGGCTGCTTCCTGCATGCCCCCTACTAGGGACTGAGCCGATAACCCAGGCACATGCCCTGACCAGGAATCAAACCATGTGACCTTCTGGTTCATAGGATGATGCTCAACCACCGAGCCACACCAGCTGGGCCAGATATGGGATTTTTCAAAAATTTCAGGAGTCTAAATATCCATTTGTCTCCAATGTCAGTCAATTTCTCTGAAACAAAAAGTAATTAAAGTGTTTTACTTATTCTTATTACCTAACTCATTTCTGCAAATTTGAACATCCTTGTTTCTATTAAAAAGGTTTTGAGTACGTTTTCTAGTTCTTTAGTAGCACATACAATAATTTTCAGCTTTCAGCTTCATTCTAGGGGAAAGGCCACCACACCATTTTCTCAATGGTGGATATTGTAGCTGGTTCATTCCGAGTTTTTAGAAAATGTAGAGATTAAGGCACTTAAGAAAAGATTTGAATCATGGTTAATCATTCACTTTATATACATTTACTAGGTGGGAAATATGTGGTAGATAGTAAGCTGCATGACAATGTCTCTAGCTCTGCATATTTGTTTATTGAAGAAATATATTTGTTTAGAATACATATTATTTGTTTAATGTATGTTTGTTTATGACTGAATGGATGAATGACATACCCCTTATTTCACTTCCCTGGGACTCTGGCTGGAGCCGTTGTTTCTCTGATAACTGCAATACTGAAATTCACATGTACACTCACTGCTTCAGCACAGTGCCCAGTGTTACCCATTTGTACCCTCATGTACTTCTCACAATAACTGACAGTGGTAGGCGCTATGTCATTCCCATTTTTCACAATTGGGAGAACGGAGGCTTAGAGAAGTTGTAACTTGGTTAAATCCCACATGAGTCCAGGAGTGATGTTCCATTTACAGAGGCAGCACATTGCAGGGAGCTGGGCAGAAGTTTGATTTGTAAGTAGGTCTGAAACAAAGCAGGGTAAACTTTGCTGGTATTAATCCACATTTTCTTCTTTCCTGCTCCCATATATTGGCTCAGTGATATCTTGTCGTGGGCAGGTTTAAGCAGGGCAGGGACAGGGCAGAAAGACCAGTTCTCCCACTGGCTGAGCATATGCAGATTGATATGCTCTCAATGCATAGCAGAGTTTAGGCAAAAGGATTGTAAACATCATTTTTGCTATGCAGTTGACAAAGAGATTATTTAGCAATTATAATATTTCAAAAACTAAACTGAAGATACTGACATACTTGCATTTCTTTTTAAAAAATGTATTTTATTTATTTTGGAGAGAAAGGGAGAGGGAGAGAGAGATAGAAACATCAGTGATGACAGAGAATCATTGATCAGCTGCCTCCTGCATGACCCTTATTGGGGATTGAGCCCGCAACCCCGGCATGTGCCCTGACCTGGAATTGAACTCTAACCTCCTGGTTCATAGGTTGATGCTCAACCACTGAGGCACGCTCGCTGGGTTGCATTTCTTCCTCCAACCCAGTTATTTCAAGTGGATAAAAATCTATTGTAAAAAACAAATTTAAGGTTGCAAAAAAAATAATCAAGGGGCCCATTAGAACTATTACCTATAAAATGAATTCTTTGAATGAAATCAATAAAAATGAAATTGAAAAATTAATATTTCTGCAAATCTGATGAGATCATTATAATAAATACAATATGCATGCAAGTTTTGCAAAATAGGTTCTTCACTAATATTATTTTTATAATTCCTATTTTTGTTGCTCTAGTAGGGTGTCTTTCGCCATATTAAAAATTTTTTAAATTTAAGTAACACAATGGGGTAAAAGAGCTAGTGCTATTAACCACGGAAGTTCAACAACTGAAAAAAATAGAAGTAGTAACACTTATTTATAATTTGGCTAATATCAAATCACAAAGAAGACTAAGTTAATTAAAAAAATTTAAATGTGCTTCTAAAGACAAAGCATTTCCTCTATTTTATTCTTTGTCAGGTTTTACTTTAAAGTTTTAAGATTCCATATTTGTTTACAAAGGGCTGTGGAATATCAGAATGGATATCATTTTATTAATAAAGTTATATGCTATTTTACATATAGAAAAATAAGCTCTTTTGTTATTCACAGAGAAGTTTGGAATCTGTTTTCCAAAAATATAGAAATCGGTATATTTTCTAATTTTGAGTAAGGTCTAGAATTCACTTTAGTTGCAGTAAGTAACTCTACTCTAAGCTTCAGGAGTTTAAGTAATTTAAGGAAATATGTATATTGGTCATGTGGAAGACTAATTAGGAAATATATTATATGAATTTGGCAATATTGAACACTTCAAAATGTATAACTAGGCAGATTTTCATAAAGAATGTAAAATATTCATAAAGAATATTTTAAAATGTTAATATTTAGTCAATAATGAATGTAGATTAATATTATAAAATTTTGGTAAATTTATGACTCACGATGTGTGTCTGTGTAATGAGAAGAACTGGCAGGAGAGGGGTCTTATGATACCTTGGAGGCTCCATGTGGTACAGAGGACAGATCCTGGTCAAGTTACTTGGCTTCCTTAGGCTTCAATTTGCTTATCTATAATGGGCGTATGGTAATGCCTACCTGGGAGGATGGAGATATATATGAAAGGATTCAATATTTTTTATGATATTATTATTTCAGCTTAGCAGAGCCTGTTATGCCCATAGTTATGTTCCTTACTGATGCTCAGATAAAATTATTAGTTTTTGAATTGCACCCATTTCAAACAAATGGGAGGGATTACTGAAGGCATTTGTTTAACTTAGTATTGAATTTAACTTAATATTATACAAGTTGAGGAAAACAGTGAAGAAATAAAATTAAGTCTCTATAGTCAAGCTATTAAATTAGTAAAATCAAGTAGGTTAAGGCATGAGGAAATGATTCTACTCTTACTTTAGCTTGCTTGGGAACTTAAACTTTTAAACTCTCTATATATCTACACCTATATATCTATCTATATCTATATCTATATCTATATCTATATCTATCTATATCTATATCTATATCTATCTACCTATAACTCTTTATATATCCTATAAATAACCCTCTGATTACCCTTTGGGTATTTTTTTTCTGTGTGTGTTTTATCTGTTTGTTTGTTTGTTAATCCTCACCTGAGAATATTTTTTCCATTGATTTTCAGGGAGAGGGGAAGGAAGGGGGAGAGACAAAGAGAGAGAAACATCTATGTGAGAAAGACACATCGATTGATTACCTCCCGCACTCGCCCTGACCAGGGCCGGGGATCAAGCCTGACCGAGGTATGTGCCCTTGACCACAATTGGACCTGAGACCCTCAGTCAGGGGGCCGATGCTCTGTCAACTGAGCCAAACCAGCTAGGGTTGATTACCCTCTGAAGAATTAAGGAAAGAATGTTCGTACCTCCAGACCACCTGAGATCCATTATCCAGAACATTGGATCTGAAAGAGTATCATCTGAGAACAATCCAGAAGCTAAGAATGCAGGACTGATTCTACCCCAAAATGTACTTTTTACTATAAGAACTCTCAGCTTTTCTTTCTTCTTCACAACACTCTGGGTATTGTCCACTTGCGAGTCTGTTTTGCAAATCTTTACTACCCTTGAATTAATCTTTGTCATTTATTTCTAGCCAAAGCCTCCTGACTCATTTACCCTCCATCAGCAAAGTGTATTCTTGATCAGATGACTTCAATGTGCTTTTAAATTCAACTATTTTGAGTTGGCACATTTATATTAAAAAGAGAAAGGCTGGTTCTTGAAGTTGTAAAATTGAGTTAATATAATTCAAAACTGTCTATAAAAGGAAGATTGTGAATGAGATTTACATTTTGGGCTATTCTCTGTTGTGGTATGAAATGCCACAAAATGTGAAACTCTACCTCTGTCCCAACCTTTCCTTCTTCCTTCTACTTCAAGGCCAGTGACTGCACTACCAATTTTGAAAACAGGAAGTTGTAGCAGAGGTTGTGTTTATTGTTCAAGCTCTCTCACTCTTCAAGAATTAGGGCGGGGGGTGGGGGGTGAGAGAGGCTTAACTTCCTTTCACTATCAAATCCCCAATTAGGTGCCATCCTGTCTCTTCTTTTTCATAGACAAACTTTTCAGAGTTGTTAACACTTTCTCCACAGTCTCAGTCAGTTGCCATCACATTCATTCCTCAAGCCACTTTATTTTGGCTTCTCTGTCATTTCAACAGGTCTTCCTTTGCTTATGACTGATTTCCATGACACTGATTCCTATGAACATCTTTCAAACCTGTGTCAAGGGCACTCAACATTCATCTTTTATTTCAAATGTCTTGGTGTCTGCTTGTATTCCACAACACTTGGTGCCCCTGGTTTCTCTCATACTTCTCTCCTTGCTTCTTTTCCTCCTCTGAAGGCTCACACTTCTCTACCCAGTTTTCAAAATACGGGAACTACTCAAGATAACAGAGCAACACAATTAGATACATTTAGAGGTTTCCTTGACTCACCTGTTGTGTCACCTAAAGGAATTGGGGAGCTCAACACATCTGGTGTGGCTCACAGGTAGCAAGGAGGAAAGGAGAAAAGACCTTGGAATTTTCAGTCTGGAGAGAAGAGGCTTAGGGCAAGCTGTTTTACTTTTTTGGATTTAATTACCTCAATCAGAAGAAAGAATGAGTACCAGAGAATCCATATGGATTATTCCAATTATAGCATTTATCCATTGTACTGTGTCTCTTTGCTTACCTATCTGTCCCCTCCACCAGATTGTGAACTGTCCCAAGGAAAAGCTTACCCTTGATCCTTCTTTGTTTCCTGGCATTGCCAGCGTTGGCTGGTGTACAGGAGGCAGCAGCGAGACTTGAACTGGCTCTATGCCTACTTCCTGAACATTTCCATTCTCTTACCTCCAGGCTGTTGAGGAAGAAGATGATGGAACCATGTGTTTTTGGACGTCTGCATGAAAGCTGCTATGTAAATTTAACTGGTTCCTCAATATTTTAACAACTTGTTTGCCAATGCCCTCAGCATTAATTATATAAACTCTATGATTCTGAGACACTGCCAAATAACTTCTAGCTGGAGCAGGGGTGTTTGGGGGGGTAGAGGTAGGCAAGGGGTGGGAAGGTCTAGGGAAGAGGGAGCTGAAACAGGTGTGGTACAAAATGGAACATCTGAGGCACCAGCTCTTGGTCCAGATGAAGTCATCACCTTTAACCCTTAACCTGCCAAATAAAACCTGGCTCCAGAGTCTGTGATAGCCACTTGAGGAGTGGGAGACAGTGACAGGGAGGAAAACAGGAAGTTGTAGCAGAGGTTGTGTTTATTGTTCAAGGCTGTGAATCCAGCACCTAACAGGTGCCTATCTTAGCATAAATGCATGAATGAATTAATGAATTGTGGACAATGCCTATGAAGAAGGCTGGGAATTGGGGATAGCAGCTTAAAAAGCTGTATCTGTTGGATCCTACTGCAGCACCTAATAGGTAATAAAAATCTTATTACTGCCCTAGTCTGTTTGGTTCAGTGGATAGAGCGTCGGCTTGCGAACTGAATGGTCCCAGGTTCAATTCCGGTCAAGGGCACATGCCCAGGCTGTGGGCTCGATCCCCAGTGGGGGGGCGTGCAGGAGGCAGCCCATCAATGATTCTCTCTTATCATTGATGTTTCTATCTCTCTCTCCCTCTTCCTTCCTCTCTGAAATCAATGAATACATATTTTTAAAAAATCTTATTACTTTCTAATTACTTTACTACATTTACTATTATGTATGCTCTAGAGGTCATTTGTGTCTCCTGTATCCAGGGCTGGCTTCATAGGCATGGTAAGTTCAGAGGCAATGAGTGAGAAGATCTATGGGGAGATGAAGACAATGTTTATCACTCTGTGTAGTGATAAACTTTTTGACATTGTGTGCACAAGGGCACTGAAACTCTTACACCCCCACCCACCCCGGTTAAACTCATGATGGTAAATTCAGAAGCAATGAGTGAGAAGATCTATGGGGAGATTACATTGGGCTCTGCAGCGGGCTTGAAAGGAGAAGAGCCCCTGAGAAGGCAAAAGATGGGTAGCTGGAGACCAAAGTAGCCAGGCCCAGTCCCCAGAGCCCTTTGGGAAAGTGGCTTGGGTCAGGCAGGATCCCTGGGGGTACATTGTCAGATGCTCAGCCTCTTTCTTCAAGGCTGTTTCCTGGAAAATACATGGGTTAGTTGAGTGGGTGAGGACCATGAAAGGGAAATTTGCAGGAAGGAAAAACAGGGCCAGCACTATCACAGACCTCAACATGACTGGCACTTTCTAGGACTGTGAGGTGCATAATGTATGCCACTGAACACAGAAACTCTAACAGACTTCAACGTGCAGAAGAGAATGTGGGGGCTCCCGCCTGAGTTAGAGCAGCACTAATCTACAAGAAATGGACAAGACAGTTCACATCTCTGCATCTCAGTTTTCTCATTTGTAAAATGGGAGTAATTAGCCATTCTACATGAGGCAATATATAAATTCTCTCACAGAACACCTGATATATAGGATTTACTCAATACATTTCTGTTCCCTTCCATTTCCTATGTCAAGACATAGAATGCAGAAATAAGCAGCAAATCTGGGCATTAGCTTAGGACTGTCTGGGAAAAACAAATAAAAATCTGCAATGCTGTTTGCCAAACTACCTGCCTTCATTGAGCAAGACTTTGGGCTGGTTCCTTAGGCGCTTGGCTGACTCTGGCCAGTGTATACATTAGCTAAATGCTTGCTGTGCTCTCTCCCCTCCTTTCCTGTCTTCCTTCTTCTTCATTTCCTTTATGCACTCAATTCATGCAACGTGCCCTTTATCAAGTACACACTATTTCCAAGGCCCTGTGGTGAGGCCCTTGGTGACCTGGAGATGTACCTCTGCACATGGGAAACTCACAGCCAGAGTAGAGTCAGGAGTCTTGGGTGTGAACCCCAGTTTCATTGCTAACTTGCCATGTGATCAAGCTTCCTTTCCTCATCTATAAAGTGGGAATTATGACAGTGTCTATCTTGTAGAGTTTTCTGAGGATTAAATGAAAAAATTTGTAGAGCAGGATTAGTGCAATACGCAACCACATTAAATGCTCAATGATGGCCAATTATAATATTATTAATATTTTTGTCATAGATGCAAGCAATTATAAGATAAAGCAGACCATGGGTAAGGGACTAACAGTGCTAGAGAGGCCCAGAGGAGGCAGAGTTTAGTCAGTGGGGGACAGTGAAAACAGTGACACTGTCACCAGTGGCATCTCCTGGTTTCTCTACTACATGGCCCTAAACCCAACACCAGCATCACTGTAGGGAGGAGGTTTGTGAGATCCTCGGGGACAGGGACTCCTTCCAGTGGTGAGTGAGTCTGTGAGGGAGCTCAGTCTGTCCTGCTCAGCTGCAGGCTGTGTCTGTGCTGTCTGGTGTCATCGCAGATGACACAGGGCCATCCCTGGAAACCAGGTGAAGGCAGCAGCAGCTGTCTTGTTACCTGCAGTGCGAGGATGCTCCCTTGAGCCCCTTCTCCAACTAGAGTCTTTTCCAGTGTGAGTAATGTAGAGAAAGTTGTCAACAGGAGGCCCATTTCTTGAGTGTTGACTCTGATGATAGAATGACCACCCCTTTGGGTTCCTGGAGAGAATAGGGAATGCTGGGAAAGAAAGAGGTGCAAATTGAAGATGAACAGAGTTGTGAAAGCCAAGGGAGCTGACCCCTTCCCACCTGCCTTGTGATGGTCTCTTCTGGTGAAGTTTCTTGAGAAAATGCTGTTTTCCAAACTCCATCAGTCAGAAACTTTGAATTATTCTGTCTCCTGGTTCCAGTTGAACTCATTAACACAACACCATTGATGCTGACCTTTCTCTGCAGCAGGCTCTCTGGAAACCTCTCACACCTCTGCCCCCACATTCCTCTCTCCCTGTCTTCTCCCCTCTTGGGCTAGGCATTGGGCAGGGGTGCAAAAAATTCTCAGCTGATAGAAGGAAGTTTATATTCATTTAAAAGAGACACACACAACTGCAGGGCCTAATATTTGGGGGATGAAATCTCCCTTAGTTATTTTTATTGGTTGGATGTTGGAAATCCTCCAGGGTGTCCAGCCACATGTTAGGTGCTGTCAAGGGTGTATGTGGAAAGAGGAGGAAGAGGATCCAATTTGCTGTTTTTGGATATTTTTAGAGAGACTAACTCACATAACTAAAAAGCAAGAGAAACCAAAGAATGAGTGACCCCATGTTGCAGGCAGAGAAAGCAGGAGTGGAGCCTAAGTTGGCTTTCTTAGGAGGGGTAAAACTCTGACAAAGGGAAAGAGAACTGGGCATTTTAAGTTGGGTAACAACATGAAGACAGCCTGGAGGCAGGGAATTGAAAATTTTTTTATGTTTCCTTCATTTTATCTGGAAGCAATTCAAAGATACTTATTCAATAAAATAGTAAAACACAAATGAAAAATGAGGACTGGGGAAGTGTGAGGGGAACCTAGTGGCTCTTTAATACGGTGTTGCATAGTAGTTATATTTGGACTTCACAATTGGGTCTGAGCTTCTTAGTGACAAAAGGAAAGGGGGAAATATATATATATATATCCTATCTAATAAAAGACAAAAAGGGTAATTAACCGTACCTCCGCTATGCTTCCCATTGGCTAATTAGCAAGATATGCAAATTAACTGCCAACAAAGATGGCAGCCGGCAGCCACGCAGCTGAAGCGAGCAGGAGGTTTGCTTGCTCCAGTGATGGAGGAAACCAAGGTTCCCCGCCTGCCACGGCCTGCTCTAAGCTCCAAAAGCAACAGCTCCAAAACCAACAAAGTTTCAATTATAGAAGCTAAACAAACCCCAGATACCTGCTTTCAGCCAGCAGCAGGTGGTCATCCCCCGAGGGGTCCCAGACTGCAAGAGGGCACAGGCCGAGCTGAGGGACCTCCCCCCCTGAGTGCACAAATTATATACATATATAATATATATATCTGAGCTTGTCATTGTTAATGCATTTATTACTTCATTCAACCAATGGATATTAGCCTCTGTTCCTTTCCATTCCAGCTCCAGAGGAGAATACAAGCAGGACCCAAACATCTATCTTTTGAGGGGCTTCTGTGGGGCTCTGAGAGACACAGGAGTGACCTTGTCTTTGATGGCTGGGTGCACACACACCTCTAGGGTCCTGGGCTTTCCCCTCCCAGCAGTGAAGATGAGTGAGGGATAGAGAAACGTGGAGTCAGAACCCTGGGTCTGAGTGGCCAACCCATGTCCATTGTGGCCCGACCACCTGGTGCACTTGTGTTCCTCTGAGTCTTGGGGTTGTGATGGTTGTGGAGGGGGGCAGTTGGGGCTGGAGCCTGCCTTCCCAGAGAGCCCTGTGGCTCCTCATCTCCAGAAAAGACTGGTTGTGTTGCCAGCAGGGATGATCTGGGCAAGATGACCTACTTGACCACGTGCACCAAGGAGAACCCCCACTTTTACCCGCCTGTGCCCCAGGTGTACTGCCAGCTGAGCAAGCCTGTCAGCTTTGTGGATATCCACTCGTTACCTGCATGTGTGATGGCATGGATTTGGGGCTCAAATGAGAGTTCCTGAGGATGCTTCTCTGACACTCGCTATGCCTTTGGCTCACTCTTTACACCAATAGTGGAGAACTCATGCTTTGTGTTTGGCCTGGGTCCAATCCTGGCTCTATAACAGGAGTAAATTTCTCCACCTCTAAGGCTCTTTTTCCCCTTCTGTGAAATGGCTGTGAGGAGAGTACCTTCCTTACAGGATTGTTATCTGGATTAAATCATCAGGGCTGTCATGGGCCACTATGCAGGTAGTGCCCTGAACAACTTCAGGAGGCACCATTCACATAGACTGTGATGCTATGCAGGGCTGACCTGTACAACCATATTTGGGGGCTTTGTAGAGTGTTCAACTCTGTATCTGGCCCATGGTATGCATCCAATGACTGGTAGCAGTGCGTACTTTAGCATAATGTTATGAATAACTTGCCTTGAGAGTCAGTGATTCAAAAGCGAAAGAATGTGAAAGTCTTTGTCTGTCCTGCTTGTGCTGGGGTGGGTTCAGTCCTTTTTAATTCCATTCTACGAGTATCTGTGTCATGTGCTGTGCCCAGTGCTGGCGGTACAGGAAGTAGTTGTGATGATGACCAAAAGCACTTTGCTGGGTGTCTTTGTTTAACTATATGGATGTGTTTTTGGAAAATTGCATAAGGAGAATTTGCCTAAAGCAAAAATAATAATAAAGAGCAGTAAATTTCTAAAGCAAGCCCCCAGGTAACCATTGCCAAGGTCAATGAATATGGAGTATGATTTCACAGGTATGTCTTCTGCCCTCCTGAGATGGATCTCTGTGGCACTCGTGCGATTGTCAACGTCTGTGTCACAGACACCTGGTGCTCTGGGTGTATGGGCTTTAGCTAGGAAAGGTGGCAGAATGATAGAGGAGAGCTTTCTGGAAGATTTGGTGCTTAAATCAGGCCTTGAGGCTGGGTGAGGTATGAGGTGCAAAGAAGGAATTTTGGGGATCACCTCAGGCTGGGGCCACACGAAAAATCAGAGATCTTCCCCAGTCACCCCTGCAGCAGCTGCCTGATGGCTACATATACCTCTAGGGTTCAAGGTCTAAGGCCATTAGTGAGCTCCAGTCCAAAAATTAGACATTTATAGAAGGGAGGGCACCTGATGCTGTGGGACGGTCAAAAGAGGAGAATTATAGCCCTGGGATGTGGGGATGTTTCTATGTTGCCCCGGGGATGGAACATCTTGAGACACATCCTTCCTGCTATAGAAGGCCACAGCCCTGGATGGTTGGCCATGGGCACCTGCTCATTCCTGCAAAGCCCTGTTAAGACCTAGACCTTTTTGCCCACCTAAAGTTGGGATGCAGAGACCTAGCCAGAGTGTTCACTATGCCATCAACATCTCTCTCTGTCCTGGCCCTAGATAGACCTTTCTCTGCACAAGTGAAGATAGTTTCAAAGCTGTTACCTGGGAGTTGAACTCAGTGGTCATAATCAACCTTGGCCCATGGGTGGCGCCCAATTTTAAGACTTGTCTCCTTTTCTTATCTGTGGACAGTCAGGAGGCCTGTGAGGCAGGATTGGAGGAGGCCATTATCCTACTTCAATATTAAGGGAAGGACCCTGCCAAGATGCTCATCAGGGAGGCGTGTGAGCTGAGCCTTCAGTTTCTGGATTCTTTGACCAAGGCACCATAGGTAGTGTTGACTCTCTCTGAGGGCATGTGTTGGTGAGATATAGAGCTGAGAGTTCTGGAGCCAGAGAGAAAGCAGAGACTCCAAGTGTGAGGGGAGGACAGAGGTTGAGGACTGGAGAGCACCAGGATGAATTCCACTCCATCCTTCCCGCTCTCTAACACACCCTGCTCCCTCTCTGATCCCAGGCACTTGTGGCATGAGTGTGTAGATAGAGTGTGGTGTGTGAGGGGCACACATGGGTGTGGATGCACAGGAGTGTCTCTACGTGTGTGTCATGCAGATGTGCATGAGAGCATGAACTCAGCCTGGGTTTGTCCCATTGTCTGAAGCAGGAAGATCATTCTTGGTCCCTTCCCTGACTCCTGTGAAATTCTGTGGTTAGAGCATTTGACATGGCTGACCACCCAGAATTACAAGTTCCCATTGTCCTGTGCACTCTTAGCATGGCCACTAAATCCTTCTGCACCACCTGATTTCCAGGGACCTGCCAAAAGTCCTGTACAGGATGCTCTCAGCTCACTTCCCTGCTCTATATCTCAGTCAAACACTGTTTGTCCACTCTGCCCCTTGTTAGAGCAGTGACCTGGGAGGCCATGGGACTGGGAGGGAGAGCCTTGTTGGAGGAGAAGGCCTTCAGGGAGGCAGAATTAGGCATCCTACTGCAACAGGAGGTGTGCCGGGAGGTCTGTCTATGGCAGTGGTTCTCAACCTTCCTAATGCCGCGACCCTTTAATACAGTTCCTCATGTCGTGGTGACCCCCAATTTCATTGTTACAAATTGAACATAATTAAAGCATAGTGATTAATCACAAAACAATATGTAATTATATATGTATTTTCTGATGGTCTTAGGCGACCCCTGTGAAAGGGTCATTTGTCCCCCAAAGGGGTCGCGACCCACAGGTTGAGAACTGCTGGTCTATGGCATTCAGGACCCTGACTTAGGAATGGCATGGGGTTGGATAGGAGGAGGACTTATGTTCAGAACCAGCAAGAGAACAGGCTTGGGTTGAGAGGCTGATGGAGGAATAAAAAAGGGAATAGAGAGCCCAGAGTCAGGGGACCATCAACCATGTAGTCACCAAATGTGGCAGGAAGGGGAAGACAAAGGAGATAAAGAAAAGACAGACACTTCTTATTGACATTGTAAAATTTTTTCCAGGGAGGAAGAAAGAAGGAGAGGGTGTGGAGATGACAAATGGGTAGGAAACACATAGAAGGCCACCAGGAACACAAACTGATGGTAGTCACATAGGGACCAATTAGGCTCAAGAATGGCTCCCAAGATATCCACAGTCTATTCCCTGCCAGGTGTGACTATATCCTGTTTCATCTGTGTGGCCCATGTAATCACACATGTCCTCACAAAAGAGAAGGCAATGTGAAGACAGAAGCAAGGAGACATTTGAAGATGCTGCTGGATTTGAATATGCAAGATGACTCCAGGAGCCAAAGAAGTAATAATGCAGCTCTAGATGCTGGAAAGACAAAGACAGAGGATCTCTCCTAGAGCCCTGGAGGTTGGGTGGCCTTGCCCACACCTGGGTTGTGGTCCAGTGAAACCCATGTCAGACTTCTGACTCCAGAACCCTAAGAGAAGAAATTTGTGGTGTTCTAAGTCACTGAGGCTGTGGTAAATTATTATAGCAGCTAAAGGAGACTAATACAGAGAAGCACAAGCAGGCAGAAAGTGAAAAGTACAGAGAAAGGGGCAGACAGGCAGAGGACGGAAAGGAGGACATCAGGTGGAAGGGCAGGTGTGCAGATGGAAAGCAGGAATTGGGGAGATAGACAGGGAAGGGCAGGAAGGATTTCCTCAGAGCTTGCCCTTGTCCCAACAAGGACTAGAGGAGCTTTCTGAGCTTCAGGTGGATCCCATTCTTGGAATCCAAGACGATCTTTGGGAGGGGGATGGGAACTTGGAGAGGATCTGCCGCCAGCTCAAAGCGAAGCAGGGTCAAGGCTACGGCCACCTTCAGCTCCTTCATGGCGAAATGCTTCCCAATGCAGTTTCTGGGCCAAGATGACAATATGAGGAAAACAACATGAAAAACGGTATCAAATCCTGTTTTCAGCTGGGCAGGCATTTGTCACTGAGCCCTTGCCAGGAACAGGGTGTTCTGATGTAAGTCAATCCGATCCCCTTCCTTTTAGGTCATGCACTTCTACCCCACAAGCCTTGCCTCACATTCTGCCCCTGAACTTTGACAAAACCTATCTCTCTTCCAGAAGTAGCTCCTAACTCCTACTTCTGTTCTCAGCAGGCATGAAATCCTGTTAGGGGATGGTCAGCGCCTTAAGCAACCAAGTCAAGTCAAGTGAATCACTACAAAGTTAATTATTAATTTGGTCACTCCTTCCACAAGCAGTTTCTGGTTTCACAATGTTGAGGCCAGGTCAAGGCATGACATGGAGTAAGGTGGTCACCACACTTAGTTCCCCACTTTCTAGGGGCACACACTGGGGCATTGATCCTTAAAGAGAAGGAGATATGTGATCACTGTAAAGAAATCAGAAATGCAACAGGGGAGTTTCCTGGAACAATCAGGGATTAGTGAGCTTCACCCAGTTGCACCACCTGCCTCCCAATGAATAGTCCAGACTCCTGCCTCTCCCTCATCCCCTCAGTCAACCAGCTTCTGTAGCCTTCCTATTCTACTACAGAAATGTCTTTCCTTGGCATCCATCAGTCTCCTCACCTGGACTTTTCTGTCTCTCTGCCTCCTCTAACTCTTCACTGAAGCTGTTGCCCAACTCAACTCCTTCTAGGACCCCAATCACAGGTAGGACATGTCCAATGCCTCAGCTGGCATCAAAGCCCTCCATGGGTTGTTGCCTTACTCACCTCTTACCTGTCCAGCTCCACTTCCTAACTCAGCTCATGCTGTTGAGATCACAGAGAATGCCCTCCCTGTACCTCTGCCTGTCACATGTTCACGTCTGATCCCCATGACATGCCATGCTCACCCCCCCTGCTAGCGGTACCCCTTCCTCCCAGGACCCCCAAAGCAGCATTAGTCTTTTATTTAAGAATACCTCACCATCCCATGCCCTGGACAGTGCAAGGAACATGGAACATTCAACAGTGTGCTCAGAATGAGCGAGTGAAATGATGAATGAATATTGTGTCATGAGTAGAGGTATTTGTTTCTTGACTGTGAACTCCTGGAGGCTGGGACAGTATCTTTCCCATCTCCTAGCACAGGACTTGGCACACAGACACAGGCTTAAGAAATACGTTTATATTGGAATGAAGTCAATTGAATTGAAAAAGTAAACATTGGAAAAAGAAAAAAAAGTAAACCTGAGTTCTGAGCTAGGGATTGAGCTGCCTAGTGCTCTCCTGCCCTCTAGTGGCAGGCACATGACTTCAAGCCAAGGTCTATGAGGAAGGACTCAATCCTGGGAGAAACCAAATGGTACAGCCAATCAATCTCTGGAAGAAAACTTTGTAAAATTGTGTTCTGTGAAAGTTGATTCCCATCTGAAGAATTCATAGACTTAAGGATTCAGAAAAAGCTTGTTTCCCCCCCCCCTTTTTTTTGGTTTTGTTAAACCTCACCCGAGTGTTTTTTCCCCATTGATTTTTTCTGAAAGAGTGGAAGGAAGGGAATGGGAGAGACACACAGAGAGAAACATCGATGTGAGAGAGACACAATGACTGGTTGCCTCCCTTACGCACCCCAATTGTAGCCGTGGATTGCCTGCACCCAAGGTATGTGCCCTTGACCAGAATCAAAGCTGTGACCCTTCAGTCCCTGGGCCAATGTTCTAACTACTGAGCCAAAGCAGCTAGGGCAGAAAAAGCTTATTTTTAGTAATCAATTACAAAGTTTGTGGAAGTGACTATTTTACAGGGGGGCTTCTGTAGCCTTTGCAGATTTTCAAACAGCAGGCATTCTGGAGTACACTCATCCAACTTGATTTCAGTTGTTTCAGGTAGGCCTTATATTTTACACACCAGGAGCCTTTCAAATGCTGTGTGTCATATGCAAAGTAGTGGGTTTTCT